TGTTACCAGCAGTGGGGGCGAGGTGAAGCGGAAGGGAGCGAGGTGCTGCCAGCAGTGACAGGGTAGGATGTGTTTACTAGCAGTGACAGGGTAACGAGGTGTTACCAGATAAGGACGGGGTTTATGCGAGGTGTTTACCAACAATGACAGGGTAGCGAGGTGTTACCAACAGTGACAGGGTAGCGAGGTGTTGCCAGCAGTGACAAGGTAACGAGGTGTTGCCAGCAGTGACAGGGTAACGAGGTGTTGCCAGCAGTGACAAGGTAGCGAGGTGTTGCCAGCAGTGACAGGGTTACGAGGTGTTACCAGCAGTGACAGGGTAGCGAGGTGTTACCAGCAGTGACAGGGTAGCGAGGTGTTACCAGCAGTGACAGGGTAATGAAGTGTTACCAGCAGTGACAGTGTAACGAGGTGTTACCAGCAGTGACAGGGTAACGAGGTGCTACCAGCAGTGACAGGGTAACGAGGTGTTACCAGCAGTGACAGGGTAACGAGGTGTTACACATGCAGAGGGTGACAGGGAGTAGTGAGGTTTTATCAGAAGTGGCAAAGGAGCGAGGTGTTATCAGCAGTGACAGAGTAGCGAGGTGTTATCAGCAGTGGCAGGGGAGCGAGGTGTTACCAGCAGTGACAGGGTAGCGAGGTGTTATCAGCAGTGACAGGGTAGCGAGGTGTTATCAGCAGTGACAGGGTAGCGAGGTGTTATCAGCAGTGGCAGGGGAGCGAGGTGTTACCAGCAGTGACAGGGTAGTGAGGTGTTATCAGCAGTGACAGGGTAGCGAGGTGTTATCAGCAGTGACAGGGTAGCGAGGTGTTATCAGCAGTCACAGGGTAGCGAGGTGTTGCCAGCAGTGACAGGGTAACGAGGTGTTATCAGCAGTCACAGGGTAGCGAGGTGTTACCAGCAGTGACAGGGTAGCGAGGTGTTACCAGCAGTGACAGGGTAGCGAGGTGTTACCAGCAGTGACAGGGTAGCGAGGTGTTACCAGCAGTGACAGGGTAACGAGGTGTTGCCAGCAGTGGCAGGGTAGCGAGGTGTTACCAGCAGTGGCAGGGTAGCGAGGTGTTACCAGCAGTGGCAGGGTAGCGAGGTGTTACCAGCAGTGACAGGGTAGCGAGGTGTTATCAGCAGTGGCAGGGTAGCGAGGTGTTACCAGCAGTGGCAGGGTAGCGAGGTGTTACCAGCAGTGACAGGGTAGCGAGGTGTTGTCAGCAGTAAAACAGGGTTGCGAGGGTAAGTTCCAGCAGTGACAGGGTAGCGAGGTGTTACCAGCAGTGGCAGGGTAGCGAGGTGTTGTCAGCAGTAACAGGGTAGCGAGGTGTTATCAGCAGTGACAGGGTAGCGAGGTGTTATCAGCAGTGACAGCAGTGACAAATGGAAAATGAAGAGCAATGTTTTTAGACAAAGAGAAACGACTGGACAAAGAAAGAGGCGACAACGGGAAATACTAAGATGGAGCAGTGTTGTAGCTACACTACCAGAGTTTACACTTTGTTTTGGTCTGGTTTGAAGAATTTTTCCAAAATATTTACAAATTCTAAGATAACCTAGACTGTAGGAATGTTGTGGAGAGAACTGGACCAGTGCCAGCCAGTGCACTTCAGCGTGTTGGGCTGATAAGTTTGTTGGTTGATGCAGTACTGGTGATGAGACCAGTTGGGATGCCACTGAGATGTCTGTTGCAAGTATTCTTCAACTGATCAGTGTTGCTGTATTCATCATTCTCTTAGGATACAATACTGATGATTAGGATACAGTACTGATGATTAGGATACAGTACTGATGATTAGGATACAGTACTGATGACTAGGATACAGTACTGATGATTAGGATACAGTACTGATGATTAGGATACAGTACTGATGATTAGGATACAGTACTGATGATTAGGATACAGTACTGATGATTAGGATACAGTACTGATGATTAGGATACAGTACTGATAATTAGGATACAGTACTGATGATTAGGATGCAGTACTGATGATTAGGATACAGTACTGATGATTAGGATACAGTACTGATGATTAGGATACAGTACTGATGATTAGGATACAGTACTGATGACTAGGATACAGTACTGATGATTAGGATACAGTACTGATGATTAGGATACAGTACTGATGATTAGGATACAGTACTGATGACTAGGATACAGTACTGATGACTAGGATACAGTACTGATGATTAGGATACAGTATGATGATTAGGATACAGTACTGATGATTAGGATTTCAGTACTGATGATAGGATACAGTACTGATGATTAGGATACAGTACTGATGATTAGGATACAGTACTGATGATTAGGATACAGTACTGATGACTAGGATACAGTACTGATGATTAGGATACAGTACTGATGACTAGGATACAGTACTGATGATTAGGATACAGTACTGATGATTAGGATACAGTACTGATGATTAGGATACAGTACTGATGATTAGGATACAGTACTGATGATTAGGACTACAGTACTGATGATTAGGATACAGTAATGATGATTAGGATACAGTACTGATGATTAGGATGCAGTACTGATGATTAGGATACAGTACTGATGATTAGGAATACAGTACTGATGATTAGGATACAGTACTGATGATTAGGATCAGTATGATGATTTGATACAGTACTGATGATTAGGATACATACTGATTTATTAGGATACAGTACTGATGATTAGGATACAGTACTGATGATTAGGATACAGTACTGATGATTAGGATACAGTACTGATGATTAGGATGCAGTACTGATGATTAGGATGCAGTACTGATGATTAGGATACAGTACTGATGATTAGGATACAGTACTGATGATTAGGATGCAGTACTGATGATTAGGATACAGTACTGATGATTAGGATACAGTACTGATGACTAGGATACAGTACTGATGATTAGGATGCAGTACTGATGATTAGGATACAGTACTGATGATTAGGATACAGTACTGATGACTAGGATACAGTACTGATGATTAGGATGCAGTACTGATTAGGATACAGTACTGATGATTAGGATGCAGTACTGATGATTAGGATGCAGTACTGATGATTAGGATACAGTAACTGATGATTAGGATACAGTACTGTGATTAGGATGCAGTACTGAATGATTAGGATACAGTACTGATGATTAGGATACAGTACTGATGACTAGGATACAGTACTGATGATTAGGATGCAGTACTGATGATTAGGATACAGTACTGATGATTAGGATACAGTACTGATGACTAGGATACAGTACTGATGATTAGGATGCAGTACTGATTAGGATACAGTACTGATGATTAGGATGCAGTACTGATGATTAGGATGCAGTACTGATGATTAGGATACAGTACTGATGATTAGGATACAGTACTGATGATTAGGATGCAGTACTGATGATTATGATACAGTACTGATGATTAGGATACAGTACTGATGATTAGGATACAGTACTGATGATTATGATACATTACTGATGATTAGGATACAGTACTGATGATTAGGATACAGTACTGATGATTAGGATACAGTACTGATGATTAGGATACAGTACTGATGATTAGGATACAGTACTGATAATTAGGATACAGTACTGATGATTAGGATGCAGTACTGATGATTAGGATACAGTACTTTATGATTAGGATACAGTACTGATGATTAGGATACAGTACTGATGATTAGGATGCAGTACTGATGATTATGATACAGTACTGATGATTAGGATACAGTACTGATGATTAGGATACAGTACTGATGATTAGGATACAGTACTGATGATTAGGATTCAGTACTGATGATTAGGATACAGTACTGATGATTAGGATGCAGTACTGATGATTAGGATGCAGTACTGATGATTAGGATACAGTACTGATGATTAGGATGCAGTACTGATGATTAGGATACAGTACTGATGATTAGGATACAGTACTGATGACTAGGATACAGTACTGATGACTAGGATACAGTACTGATGACTAGGATACAGTACTGATGACTAGGATACAGTACTGATGACTAGGATACAGTACTGATGACTAGGATACAGTACTTATGATTAGGATACAGTACTTATGATTAGGATACAGTACTGATGACTAGGATACAGTACTGATGACTAGGATACAGTACTGATGACTAGGATACAGTACTGATGACTAGGATACAGTACTGATGACTAGGATACAGTACTGATGACTAGGATACAGTACTGATGACTAGGATACAGTACTTATGATTAGGATACAGTACTTATGATTAGGATACAGTACTGATGACTAGGATACAGTACTGATGACTTTGGATACAGTACTGATGACTAGGATACAGTACTGATGACTAGGATACAGTACTGATGACTAGGATACAGTACTGATGATAGGATACAGTACTGATGACTAGGATACAGTATGATGACTAGGATACAGTACTGATGACTAGGATACAGTACTGATGACTAGGATACAGTACTGATGACTAGGATACAGTACTGAAACTAGGATACAGTAATGATGATTTGGATACAGTACTGATAACTAGGATACAGTACTGATGACTAGGATACAGTACTGATGACTAGGATACAGTACTGATAACTAGGATACAGTACTGATGACTAGGATACAGTACTGATGACTAGGATACAGTACTGATGACTAGGATACAGTACTGATAACTAGGATACAGTACTGATGACTAGGATACAGTACTGATAACTAGGATACAGTACTGATGATAGGTACAGTACTGATGATAGGATACAGTACTGATGACTAGGATACAGTACTGATGACTAGGATACAGTACTGATGACTAGGATACAGTACCCAGCTGATAAAGCTCAGTTCTGGCCTATATAAATGGGAGTACATTCTGGCGCTTGACCCTTACAGGTTTAGCTTTTCCCGTGAATTTAAAATCTAATAAAATTTATTGCTAGGGGTTATAGTTCTGGGGCTATAATAAAATGTTACTTCTAGGAGAGTATCCAACTTACCTTTATTTACTAGCTTCACTGTCTTTATTTATAAGTGAAGGTGACTCCATCACACCTGCCAACACCCTATACTCGACGGATACCTGAATGAGGTTTCCGGGGGTCAACGCCCCCGCGGCTCGGTCCCACACCAGGCCATGATAATTTTATTATATTTTAAATAAGATTAGTCCACTACAATAAGTAATCCGTGATGCCTGTTATCCTTCAAAAGCAGATTTATCAAATTATCTTCTGGTAATCCTCGAGTTTTCAGTATTACAACTAACCGATTTTTATTTATTTTTCACTTATTCACAATGTTAATATCTAAGCTGAATAATATAGTTTGACACCAAACCTATTAGATTTATCATATTTGTAATTTAAACACAAAAATACAAGCCATTTTGACTGCACGTCAATTATCAACTTTAACACTCGAGTTATTTTAGCTGCCAATTAAAATTGCCACTAATTGCGTGACAAGTGTGAGTAACAGCTGGGAGCAACAGCTGATGGCTGGTCACCCCGCCCCTCACAGATGTTGACCTACTTAACAGGTCACACATGAAACACAACGTGACCTAATCTCCCAGGATGACAGGGCCAGACTCGCCACAACCTTCACCTGCTGGCTTGTATGTATGGACGGGCTTCTGGCTCAACAAACAGCAGGTGGGAGAGGTCGCGTGCTCTCACACATACACTCCTACAATCACTGGACGCTTATCCTAAACAGTTTTCTCCTGACGATAACCTAATATCGCGCTGTGATGCTGCCAGCCCACGCATCTCCCAAGCTGCAAGGATACACACATTTCCCACCTCCAGAGCCCAACAGCTGCTCCGAGTCCTTGTTCTGATGTACCATATTTCAGACTTAAGGTGTCAGAGACACCACTGAAGTCATTCAGGTTAGAGATGCTGTTAGAGTAGCGTCCTACGGAAAGTATCGTACCTCCGGAAGTTGGCCACAACAACTTTTCTCTCATCGCCTGGTCCAGCGCCCCGTTGCCTTATGTATGAGAAAACATTAACGACAGCCTCTTGTATTTTCATAATTTCCATTTCTATGAGAGATACAACATGCTTAACATTTACCAAACCAACCAAGGCAGAAAAACAGAATCTAAGCAAGCTTCAAGTATTAAATTAAAAGACCCCATCCAGACGGAAGATGAAATCATCTAGTCAGGTTGAGAGTGTCGTACCGAGCAACATGTGACTGCCAGCATGTAAACACAGCAGGACTCCGCTCACCAGCAACAGCAGCACCAACAACAGCAATAGCAGCACCACCATCACAGCAACACCAGTAGCAGCACCAGCAACACCAGTAGCCGCACCAAAGCAGCACCAGCAACACCAGTAGCCGCACCAAAGCAGCACCAGCAACACTAGTAGCACCAGCAACACCAGTAGCACCTGCAACACCAGTAGCACCAGCAACACCAGTAGCACCTGCAACACCAGTAGCACCAGCAACATCAGTAGCACCAGCAACACTATTAGCACCAGCAACACCAGTAGCACCTGCAACACCAGTAGCACCAGCAACACTAGTAGCACCAGCAACACCAGTAGCACCAGCAACACCAGTAGCACCTGCAACACCAGTAGCACCTGCAACACCAGCAGCACCAGCAACACCAGTAGCCACACCAAAGCAGCGCCAGCAACACTGGTAGCACCAGCAACACCAGTAGCACCTGCAACACCAGCAACACCAGTAGCACCTGCAACACCAGTAGCACCAGCAACACCAGTAGCACCAACAACACTATTAGCACCAGCAACACCAGTAGCACCAGTGTGAGACCTCTACCCACTCTACCGGAGGTATCCCAGCGAGTGAGCACGTCTCCTGTATATCCCAGTGCTTAACAAAATAGGGAATAGCATATGAAGGTACAAATAAAAATGGGAACTATGGCTATAGTTTACTTAATAACATAAAAGGGCTAGAATACAACATATCCTGACGGAAATTTACACAATATAGCAATTGACCTATGAGACTTATTACCAGGGGGAAGGGTAGATGTTATCAGTAACACGGACTAGTACTCACTCTTAATTCACCGACCAGCTGACCCGAGATTCCCAAATGCGTGGTCCACTACACACGCGGCTGTCCAGAGCTCTCGCTCGACGGACCTGTCACCAACAACCTCTTTGCCCCGCTGTTCCCTGGGCTTATATCGTAGTCAAAGTACCCCCTCCCCAATGGTGTATGTACCACGTGTTACGACCTGACGCCGAGGTCTGACGCTGTTAAGAACAAAAGACCTCAGACGTGGGCGTGACTACCCGACATTTGCTAAGGCAGGTGTGACCATATAATTAGGTCTCCCTAGAGACCTCACAAGCCCATCTGAACTGCATCACACCAGCAACACTAGTAGCACCAGCAACACCAGTAGCACCTGCAACACCAGTAGCACCTGCAACACCAGTAGCACCAGTAACACCAGTAGCACCAGCAACACCAGTAGCACCTGCAATACCAGTAGCACCAGCAACACTAGTAGCACCAGCAACACTAGTAGCACCTGCAACACCAGTAGCACCAGCAACACCAATAGCACCTGCAACACCAGTAGCGCCAGCAACACCAGTAGCACCTGCAACACCAGTAGCACCTGCAGCACCAGTAGCACCAGCAACACTAGTAGCACCTGCAACACCAGTAGCACCAGCAACACTAGTAGCACCAGCAACACCAGTAGCACCAGCAGCTGCACTATCACCAGCAGCACCATCACCAGCACCACCACCAGCACTACCACCACGCTCTCTCACTGTATCTCAGTAATTAACTAAAATATAGCATCAACTTCTATAAACATAAGGGGAAAAAAGACCTTGACATAATATTAAATCTTTAAATACAGCAAAGTGGGAGCATCAGAATAACATCCACCTTGTTTAATAATAACCAAATACACCTTCCCCCTAACCACTCTTACCAAAACAACATAAACCAGTGAATAAAACACCAAGAACGTAGACATACCAACATAAAAACAAGAACATCATCATCCAAAACAAAGACAAGTCGAATGCCCTGAAAAAAGTACACGAACAAAGATCATCCAACTATATAAATTCCTTGACTTTGGATTAGTATATTCAAGCACTACTGATGACATTTACAGAAAGATATATTAGCAAAAGTTCAAAACGGCCAAAAAATTAACTGTCATTCCAAACTCTCGTAGTAATAGTAGTTGCTGTGAGCGCCCCCTCAAGGAAGGTTCCTTGATGTTGGTGAGGGGCTCTTGATTTAGGGAATTGGATCTGTGCTCCAGTTCCCCGAATTAAGCCTGAACGCCTTCCACATCCCCCCCCAGGCGCTGTATAATCCTACGGGTTTAGCGCCTCCCCTTGATTATAATAATAATAATAATGCTGTGAGCGCCGCCTGGCGCACGATACAAGTATTTTACGTTCTAAACGTAACAAGACTTATTTACATTACACGAGACTGTATTGTGTGAATACCTACGATCTGGCTAGCAGTAAGAGGCAAAAAACTATCACAGTCATACCAGTAGGTGATATAGAATATATTACGATATTCTCACCTTGTTTACCTCGTACCTTGAAACTCATACAAGTTAGTTTTAAAGTATATTGAGCAAACGAGGGTAATTTAAGTTATATATCACCTGTACAGTCATACTTTAATCCCTAAAACAAGTATGAAGGTAATCTCTTAAGAGTACATAAGTGACACCTGTGTAACAACTGCGTATCTACTCGATAGACTTCACTCAGATAATAAACATGGAAACAGCAACAGTAGTGGCGAGTTTGATGAACTAATCACATTACCTCAACACTACTGCTACTCTCTCCATATTTATTCTCTGTATGTGACTGAAGAAGCCTACCGTGTAGGCGAAACCTTTCAATAATATACTCTACTGCTGCACATTTGTTTTGCTTGTCTACTTGTACGGTACTGTATACCATTTTCATCATTATTTCAAAGGGTACATACATAGAGGCATATATGGCATATATATATTATATATATATATATATATATATATATTATATAATATATATATATATATATATATACTCTTTCTTGTCATTACCATTTCGGGAGTCATTTTTCTGTGTTTTGGAGTATATATATAATTTCTGGGTCCACAGGAAGATTCGAACCTGCTCACACTGCATCCAAGTACACAGTACTTGCGGCACTCAGCCAGATCCCAGATCTGCCTGAAAGTCTATCGTCTGCCAATATAAAAAAAAAAATCTATCTTTGCAGAAATGAAAGAAAACTCAGTGCATATACACAGATATACTTCTTGAAGTATATGCGCGGAGTATATACAGTATGATATGAATATGCTGAAGGACGGCTATCAGTGTATATAAACTGATGCCAAATATTCGGAGTGTATATATATATATACATACACTTTTCGGTGTATATATATATATATATATATATATATATATATATATATATATATATATATATATATATATATATATATATACATACCCTTCTCAGTATATAAACACAGATACACCTGTCTGCATATATACACCAGAAACTCCCCCTCTCAAAGTTAAAAATAATACTGAACAAATCAATATTTAAGATATGCGCAGACTAGGCTCCCCTGCTAGCCTGGTCAAAGCCCAAATCACAAAATGATGCTAACGGTGACTTTATAAGTTAGTTAAGAAATACAATATTGAGATTATTACACTGGTTCACCGAGGCTTTAGTGTCGGGCTTTCCATACATACACCTCGGCTGTTCAGGAACACCTGAGGGTACGCTGAAGGTAAAAAAAAAAATCCCGTTTTCTACCACAAGTGAGAATCCACGAGTTGCCTTATGGCAAACTACGGTAAACTTTTATTACGCAGGATTCTGTCGCATTAATATTAGTATTAAAACTAAGATAGTGTAAGAAGATTTGTTGGGATTCTTAACCTTGAGGGTTAGCCACCCAGACTAACCCAAGAAAATCAGGCGTCATTGAAGACTGTCTTGTCTTACTTCCACTGGGGTCCTTCAATCTTATCCCCCAGGATGCCACCCACACCAGTCGACTAACACCCAGGTACCTACTTACTACTACATAAACAGGGACAGCAAGTGGTAGGATACATGCCCAATGTTTCCACGTTCCTGCAAACCTAATGACCCATGTTTATTTTATCTACTTCCCACGCCCATTAAAAAATATGACCACCAGATTCATAGTGATTTATGATACAATAATGGCGACTAGAAATATGAATATTCATGAGATATGGAAGCTCAGGTATAAGGCTAAGTGAAAAATGGTATGGAGGGCTAGACTGTGTGATAGCTACACTGTATTGGGGGGCTACACACTGTTTGAGAGAGCTACACTGTGTTGGGGAGCTACACTGTGTGAGAGCTACACTGTGCGAGTTACACTGAGAGGTACACTGTGGGAGAGCTATACTGTGCGTGAGCTACTGGGTGAGAGCTACAGTGTGACCTACAGTACGTGAGAGCTAGTGTGACCTACACTGGGTGAGAGCTATAGTGTGACCTCTGCGTGAGTTAGTGTGACCTACACTGTATGAGAGTCAGTGTGTGAGAGTTACAGTATGACCTACACTGCGTGAGTGCTACAGTATGAACTACACTATATGAGAGCTACAGTGTGACCTACACTGTATGAGTACTCACCTAACTGTACTCACCTAATTGT